AAAAGAATATGTGTTTCCTTGTGGAAGAATAGAGATAAAGAAAAATCCTGTACAATCAATAGTACAAGTGGCTTCTGACTTCTCCATTACCATATTGGAAACTATCATACAAAGAAGATATGCTTTACAAGTTTGAAAAGAAAATTATTTTTAACCCAGTTTTTAAAATTCAGCAGAAATACCAATCAAGTGTTCAGATAGACAGTTTCAAACTTGCAGGAGCTCAATATTTTACTTTCTATATATCATCTCCTAGGTAGCTCCAGTAAAATGAGAAAATAAATCAAGAAATAGGAGGATCTGAATCCAAGAAGCAAAGACAGGGCAGGAAAACTAGGATACAGATTTAAGAGCATCCACTTCTGTTGAAGTCTGTAACAGTCGCTGTCAAATTCCAGTCAATATCACTAGGACCCTACTATTTCAGCACACTCTGCACAATTTCCAAAAACCAGTATCTACTCTGTTTTCCCCAAGCTTTCCCTGAGCCATTGAAGACTACTCTGACAGCTTGCACAGCAGGTCAAAAGTACCAAGTAATTTACACCGCCCAGAAGCAGACTTAATATCCTTGAGTGATGGAAGATGGCGTATCAGTACCCCAGCTCCCTTGCCCTCTGAGAGGGAAAACTCTCAGGTATATGACATTCCCTCATAGTTTCCCTCATAATTTCCCTCATGGGTTTAGATTCCAGTCACCCACAGAGACAGGTGACCTGACAAAGCACCTCTTATTGGCTGCCTTCCCTTCTCTGTCTCACTCAATTTCTTAAATACCCATAAAAATATGTTGAGCTCATATATAACAATCCACCTACTATTTCAGAACATATAACACTCTTAAAACATCAGTTATCTAATTATCCAACACTGATATGACCTCACAAATGCAGAATGCAAAGGTATAAAACACAAAATATGACAGGTTTTCATTCTGCTCTCAAAAAAATTTTTTCTAATGTAAATGAACAGTGCTTAAGAAATAAAATTGATTCAAATAGCACTTAACAAAGTAAATAAGCAAGAAAGTAATGTTTAAAATTATTATTTAATTATTGAAGACTCTTCTTTTTTCTCTTTTTATTGAAGTATAGTTTATTTACAATGTTGTATTAGTTTCTGCTGTACAGCATAGTGATTCATTTATATTCAGATTTTCGTATTCTTTTTCATTATAGGTTATTAAAAGATATTGAATACAGTTCCCTGTGCTATACAGCAGGACACTGGTGCTTATCTATTTTATATATAGTAGTTTGTATCTGCTAATCTCAAACTCCTAATTTATCCCTCCCCCTACATTTTGCCGTTGGTAACTATAAATTTGCTTTCTATGTCTGTGAGTCTGTTTCTATTTTGTAAATAAGTTCATTTGTATCATTTTTTAGATTCCACATATAAGTGATATCATGTGATACTTGGCTTTCTCTGTCTGAATTACTTTACTAAGTATCATAATCTCTAGGTCCATCTGTATTGCTGCAAATGACATTACTTCATTCTTTTTTATAGTTAAGTAATATTCCATTGTATATATGCACCACATCTACTTATCCAGTCATCTGTCAGTAGACATTTAGGTTGCTTCCATGTCTTAGCTGTTGTAAATAGTGCTGCTATGAACATTGGGGTAAATAGTGCTGCTATGAATATTGGAGTGTATCTTTTCGAGTCAGAGATTTTCCAGATATATGCCCAAGGGTGGGATTACTAGGTCATATGGTAACTTTATTTTCAGTTTTTTAAGGAGTATCCATACTGTTTTCCATAGTGGCTGCACCAAATTACATTCCCACTAACAGTGTAGGAGTGTTCCCTTTTCTCCCCACCCTCTCCAGCATTTATTGTTTGTGGACTTTTTAATGATGGCCATTCTGACCAGTGTGAGTTGATACCTTGTTGTAATTTTGGTTTTCATTTCTCCAATAACTAGCGATGTTGAGCATCTTTTCACATGCCTGTTGGCAATCTGTAGAACTTATTTGGAGAAATGCCTATTTAGAACTTTTGTCCATTTTTTTATTGGATTGTTTGGTTTTTTTACATCAACTATATGAACTGTATGATCTATATATTCTGGAAACTAAGTCTCTGTCAGTTGCATCATTTGCAAATATTTCCTCCCAGTCCAATCTGTAGGTTACCTTTTTGTTTTGTTTATGGTTTCCTTTGCTGTGCAAAAGCTTGTAAGTTTGGTTAGGTCCCGTTTGTTTATTTCTGCTTTTATTTCTGTTGCCTTGGGAGACTGACCTAGGAAAACATTTCTATGATTTATATCAGAGAATGTTTGATTGAAGACTTTTCTGAGTGAGGGTTGGTGGCAAGTGGTAAGAGTTGGGGGTGGGGAGGCACAGTCACTCTTGCTGGTGGGAGAAGGTGAGTGAGAATTAGTGACGGCCAGTGAGTGAAACAGTTAGTGCCTGATAGCTGTCCATACCTAACCCTAAGGAACTGGTCCACATCCTCTCCTCTGGGCAATGCAGACCTTGGAAGTGAATATAAGGAACCACTGCAGGAAGCCACAGATGTAAAATGAACATCTGTTGAGTTTCTTTTGCTTACAGTTATAGAGCTCCTGCTAACCTGACTATGTTGACAATTCATTTTCTGTTTCTGTTTTGTTTTTTCATGTGATAAATCTACCCACCTCCTGATAAGGCAATGCCAATTATTCTTCTATATGTTCTAAAAGTTATTTTTAATATTTATCATAAAGTTACCCATGTTCATTTTCTTCCTCTTCCACCAACAGTCAACGAGCTTCAGGTAGAACCAGCTCCCCTCTTGTAAGTTCTTCTGATGAGGCTTTTCTAGGCTCCTTAGTCTCACCTACATTCTTGACAGTCTCTTCCACTTTCATTCCTTATGTTTTCATTGAATAAAATGGAGACGTGACACTGAAAGTGCACAAGACACTTAAACAATGATAGCAGAAATGTGATCCTATTGAGAAATGTCTGAAGCACCACAGGAGTTCATGCTACAGCCTCATGCCCTAAGCCAAAAAGGGAAACTCAAGATTTGCTATATGGATTTTTTATGTATTTGTAAATTTCACTTAAGTCATTTTGTAGGCAGGATTAGCAAATACTCAATTTGTCAAAATTCAGATAACAAGAGCTACCATCTTAGGTACAATGTCCAATGGGAGTGGAAAAGCTGAATAACTAACTCTAAGAAAGAAAAGGGAATTGTGCTAGAGCCAACTAAAAGCAAGTGATGCAGGGATCTGATAAAGAGAAATGAGACATTTAAACAGAGATAGAAAGTAATAGGCAAGAAAAGCATGTCCACAGAGCCATACAGGAAAGGCAACTGTAGAAGAAGACATCTGTGCTCCACCCATACTCCTACCCTGGAGGGTACTGGAGACAATCCCATGGTCCCACTGGCCCCCACCATCTCCGTCCTCAGGAATGTACTCTGCTGGCCCACAGTGTGGGTCAGAAGTCCTGGGAGACAATGCTGTTAGAAGCCTGTCCCAATGAGAGGAGGGGTTGGTGGATAAATACCTCAGGTGCTAATCCTCAAGAGTACATTCTGAGTTGTGTTCCACACACCTTCAGAGGGCAGTCAGCAGAGCTGATCTCCTGTTGTCAGCAATACTAGTCCCTTCAATCATGTTCCCTCTTGAGGCTGTCCTCTCGTCCCCATCTTACTACCCACTGGCTCCCAGTGAATTCCTGGGGTCACCTCCCAAGGAAACTATATCCTCATAAATCTTTGACTCAGGGACACTAAAATAAACATCAGCCAAAAGGAATTCCTAGTAGCAGGAGTGGATTATGGTTTTGAAGACCATGGATAGATACCTTCCATGTTAAGTAGGTTTCTCTAACAGTTCAAGCCTCTCTTGTATCTAAGGTTTAGTGGAAGCCTGATAAACACCATTGCCTCATGGGAGTCCTTTGGGGACATTAAACAAAAGAGGCCAATGTTCCCCATAGAGTTCTGTGTACAAAAGAGAGA